CATGGGTCTATCTCGATTATTTTTGCCTGTTACAAACATATGCACAACGACACAATACCCTGCACCACAGTGTGGTGAAGGGTATAAAAAGGGGGTAAAAAGGGGACTACCCCTAAAAGGGGGCGAATATTAATAATTTTTGGGAGGGAGGTTTGTTACCATATACGACTACAAAAAACCAAATTACAAAGAATTTGGTTGAAAAACGCGTTCAAGAACCCCAAAATACCGAAAATCGGGGGTACCCTTATATGGGGGCTACCCGAAAAAATGGACCTATATTTATTATTTATAGTGGAGAGATTTGCTACCTAATAAGAACTCGACGTACTAAATTACAGTCAAATCGGTCGAAAAATACGATAAGAACCCCCAAAATACCAAAAAATTGGGAGTACCGTTATATGGGGACTACCAGAAAAAACTGGACCTATATTTATAATTTTTAGTGGAGTAATTTGGTACACAATAAGAACCCAATGTACAAAATTTCAGAGAATTCAGTTATAAAACGAGCCCAAGAACCCCAAAATACCGAAAACTGGGGGTAACCTTATACGGGGGCTACCCGAAAAAATGGACATATATTTATAATTTTTAGTAGGGAGATTTGCTACCCAATAAGAATTCAAAGTACCAAATTTCAGCGAATTCGGTCGTAAAATGCGATCAAAAGACCCAAAATACCGCAAAATTGGGGGTACCCTTATATGGGAGCTATCCGAAAATATGGACCCATATTTATAATTTTTAGTGGAGAGATTTGCTACCCAATAAGAACTAAAAGTACCAAATTTCAGCGAATTCAGTTAAAAAACGCGCTAAAGAACCTCAAAATACCGAATATTGGGGGTACCCTTATATGGGAGCTATGCCTAAACGTGGACCGAATATCTCCAATTTCAATAGGGTTCGTCCTTGGGTCAATTAAGTGACCTGTGCCAAATATCATCCAGATCGGATCATAAATGCGACCTGTACTTTGTTAACAAAAATACATGGACGGACGGACTGACATGCATAAATCGACTCAGAAGGTGATTCTATGCATATTCTCAAAAGGAACCATGGGTCTATCTCGATTATTTTTGCCTGTTACAAACATATGTACAAAGACATAATACCCTGTACCACAGTGTGGTGAAGGGTATAAAAATCATGTTTCTACATGTTATCTTCCAGTCGACCTTTCCTTCTTATTCTTGCCCTTCCCCTTCTGTGTGAACCATCATCTGAGCTGGGACCTTCATCCATCCTATCCACCACCGTAATCGTTGCAGCTCGATACGTTTGACTATGTCGATGTAGATGGTTTGATCGTGGTTCATTCGACGTCGATATTCACCTTGATATTCAGATCGGCCCTTAGATCTTTTGGAGAATTTTTCGCTCAAACAATCCAAGAGCCAGACGCACTTTGGCTTCTTCTCTATTTGTTCAAAGGACTGAGCATGCAGAAAATTAAAAGTGACTTCTGTAGGCGACTATGTAAATTAGATTGATGAGTTTTTATCTAAGATTAGATACAATTTTAAATCTAAAGATAATTTGATAAAAATTCCTCATACTTATGAACAATTCTGCCAATATTTTGGGTCACTTTAAACAGTTATAGTACCACATATATTTAAATCATACAGAGATCATAAAACATACAAGGAAGTAAAATATGCAAGTTGTGATAATAATACTTTTCAGTACGGACATGTGCTATACCGGACCGATATATCCCATTTGCAACACCAATCATCCTAGGAGTACTAGCAAATGTCTGTGCAATTTCAGAGCTCTATATTAACTTATGAGATCTCAATTGTCATTTCTATAGACGGGCATGAATAAATCGACATAGAATTTTATTCTGATCAATAATATATACCCCACAAAGGGTCTTCGATGAATATTTCGAGGTGTTGCTAACGGAATGACAAATTTAATATACACTCCACCTTATGGTGGAGGGTATAAAAAATGGAGGTACCAGAAGGATTGGACCTATGTTCCTCATTTTTGTACTTGATTTAAGATTGGAAGAAATATTACGATTATATTACAAGTTTGGATGAAATCGATGACTCCCTTCGAAGGTTATCGAAGCCAGCCAAGCCCGCCAGACTGGCAGACGGACGTTTGTAAATCGACTCCAATTTTTTGTGAAACGGATTTGGTCCAAAGGAACATGGGGTCTAAAACTAATATTTCGAGGAGGCACATTTTTGCTGTTTTAAAAATTCTCATGAGCCATAAGGCTGATGGTATAACAAAACGGTTGGCTAAAATACCGAAAAATGAAGGGTACCGTTATATTGGGGTTACACTAAGGTAATATTGCTAATTTTTTGTAGGAAAATTTTCAACCAAATACTATGAAATTCAAAACCGCAATTCAATATACCACAATTTAAGGGGTATGCTGTCCGTCCGTCCGTCCGTCCGTATGTTTTTTTTTTTTTTTTTTTTTGAAATTGCGATATTAGTGATAGGGTTTTGAAATTAAGCACACACATTGCTAGTCATTGGTTGCTATTTCCAATCAGATATATCGGACGACGTTTTTGATTAGCTCCTATTAAAGGTCCTCGTCCCATTTTTTCAGGTTTTATGCGGATTATCCAACCAAAAAACTCCGCAATTTGCTCTTCGATTTTTGGAGGCTGGCATATACAGTGTTTTCGTTTGAAAACAAGTTTTCCGCCCAAAATTTTCATTGAAAAGTGCCCAAAATCAAAAGTGTATGCCCAAAAATTCAAGAGTTGTAAAAGTTTGCAGAGGTTTATTTTTAAATAGTTTGACTTTGTTTTAAAAATGTGTTCTTTGCTGCGGTAAAATGTCCCTCATCGAAATATTCGTTTAGACCCCATGTGTCTTTGTACCAAATCAAATTCGACAATTTGGAGTCCGTTTACAAATGACATAAATAACAATTTTGGTCCATTTTATCCCGTAAATATAATCCGATCACTACAGAAAACTATAGGTTTCATCCGGAACATTAAATATTTTGTAACGTTTGGTAGTGGGAAAAGGTTGGACAGTAATTCCTGTCAATATACATAAATATGTTATTGTATAAATTTAAAGATCAATCACTACTCTTGGATAAACGGTGACCTTCCGCGGTCTACGTTTCTCTGTAATTCATTTTGTCATTTTTCAAAAAAGGTTGACTCAATTTAACCGATATTCATCAATACATGCATGCTTTTTTCTGAGCAGACCTACTTCCCGTGCAAAATTTAGTCTTATTCGGGTCATACTGTGACCAAAATAACATACAAAAATAAAGTTTTAGATCCATTTGAACCAATAGGTGTCGTCTTTGGACCGAACCGAACCAACATATAAAGGGTGATTGGTCCATAACTACAAATTATAATGGACAGACGGGCGGAGAAAAATGTGTAAAACGAATCAGCTAGTCGAAATACATAAGTGGTCCTGGACCAAAATTTCGCTGTTTTACAAATTCTTGGGACTAAAATATTCCTAACAACATTGAGTAGGGTAAACAAATATAGAAAAGATTAAACAAAAGATAAACAAACAGAAATGCCCAAAATCCGCCCAAATTGTACATTTTTTATGCCCACTTTTGGGCATAATTGTCCACTATGTAGAAAATTATCAATATAGGACCAGTTTTGTCATAGCTCCTAAATTTAATATTTTAAAGGTTTAGCCGGATTTCTCCACCGGAGGCTTACATACATCTGTGCTAAAATCATCTGAACATGTATACGCCCTCATTTAAAAGAGCCCATATAAATGTCCCGTCACATTTTTGAAGGTTCAAGCCGCATTTTGTTACCGAATTGACTTTAATATGGGATTTCAGATTACCGGAGAGTGAAAACATGGGTTATGTTTTGCTATAGTTCTCATATAAATGTCCCGACCCACTTTCGATAATTTCTTCACCAAAGTGTCATTTTACTTTTTGGATTGTCATAGTTTTTTGACAAAAGTCGATGTTTTTGACAAATGTCGATGTTTTGACATAGCTAATGCCAAAATGTTCCGCATAGGTAATAATCACCACACATTGTAGGGTATAAAAAATCAGACGGCCGATGTTTACGACGGTTTACTTGGACTATATTTTGTTACAACATTTTGTTTACAACATATCGACATACCCGTCTGAGAACATACTGCATACAACCAGTTTATGCCCAAACTGGTCAACATTACTATTTTTTCACAATTGCCATTATATGATTTCTTATCACAAATCATAATTTTCTACAGCAAGCATACAAAGCTAGGTCAAACAAATTATATCATTGACGTATCGATCGATACACATATAATGTCTATGTCTTTGTGCAGTATAAATAATTATAATAAAAAAATAATTATATTGGTGTAAGAATAATACTGCAGGTAAAATAATCTTTCCCTCATACTAATACTAGTTTATAACAATTTGCTAGCAAACAAATTTTGTATATATTTTTTTTATTTTTGGAAAATACAAAAATAATTGCAAAGTCCAGATATTAATAGAAATACTAACAAACTGTAAAAGAACTAACAGTATTTTCATTTTAATCTATTTTATGTTGAATTTTGATAGATTTGTATTTTTAAAAATAATTTTGGATTTCGCATTTATTTAACAAAAAAAGAATGGATAAGGTTGACAAATGTCTGCAAAAATTTTTGTCAGTAGATAATTATTGATGAATATGACTGACGACATCATTTTCACACAAAAACAATGACAACTGAAGGTGTTGTGAAAAAACCCATTATCAAAATGTTATCTGTGAACAACTTCGCACCCAACATAATCGTACATCTTTTCGGAGCAGTTGATAATTCGACTGCTGATGTCCATATGCCTCCACTTGAGAGATAAAATATTCCCGAAAATAAATAAAATAAATAGAATAATCAACAAAAAATAACAAGCCTTCAAAATATGGCATCTAATAGTTTAAAAATATTTTCAGTATAAATAGAAGTGGATTTTTGGCAAACTAATTTAGTGTGTCCAATAGGCATTATTAGACACAATTTAAACGGTAAGTCTAAAATTAAATTTTAAAAATCTAAAATTAAAAAAGTTCTAAAAATAATTTAATATTTTTTTATTTACATATTAATTTATATTTATGTTCTTCTCCCCAGCAACCATGATGAAATTCTTCGTTTTCCTTACCCTCGCCGCTTTGGCTAGCGCTGAATTGGTCCGTGTACCAGTTCGCCGCCAAGAAAACTTCCAAAAATCCTTTGCCAACGTCAAGGCTGAATTGTCGGTTTTGCGCAGCAAATATGGCTTGCCCACTCCCCGTGACTATGTTGAAGAAGATTTGTCCAACACCATGAACATGGAATACTACGGCACCATCACCATCGGTACCCCACCCCAACAATTTGAAGTTTTGTTCGATTCTGGCTCCTCCAACTTGTGGGTGCCCTCCTCCAACTGCTATGCCAACAACACCGCCTGCCAAAACCACAACAAATACGACTCATCTGCCTCCTCCACCTATGTTGCCAATGGTGAATCTTTCTCCATCCAATACGGTTCTGGCAGTTTGACCGGCTACTTGTCCACCGATACCGTCATCGTCAACGGTTTGACCATCGAATCCCAAACCTTTGCTGAAGCCATGGCTGAGCCCGGCACCAGCTTTGTTGACTCCAGCTTCGATGGTATCCTCGGTATGGCCTACCAAACCATTGCCGTCGACAATGTCGTCCCTCCCTTCTACAACATGTTCGCTCAAGGTTTGGTTGATTCCGATGTCTTCTCCTTCTATTTGACCCGTGGTGGTACCTCCGACCAAGGTGGTGAATTGATCTTGGGTGGTGTTGACTCTTCTTTGTACTCCGGTGATATCACCTATGTCGATGTTTCCGAACAAGGCTACTGGCAATTCGAAATGACTAGCGCTGATATCTCTGGCAACAATGTCTGCTCCAACTGCCAAGCTATTGCCGATACTGGCACCTCTTTGATCGTCGTTCCCGAAGATGCCTACTTCACCATCAACGAAGCCATTGGTGGCAGTGAAAATGATGAAGGTCAATTCTTTGTTGACTGCTCCACCGTTTCCTCCTTGCCCAACTTGGACCTTACCATTGGCGGCACCGTCTTCACCTTGACCCCCGATATGTACATCGTCAACCTTAACGAAGATGGCACCACCTACTGTATGTCTGCCTTCACCTACATGGGTACCGATTTCTGGATCTTGGGTGATGTATTCATTGGTCCCTACTACACCGTTTTCGATTTGGGTAACAACCGTGTTGGTTTTGCTCCAATTGCCTAAATTCGATGTTTTTCATAAGGAAAAAATATAATAAATTAGGCTTTTTGTAGTCTAGAAAAAAATGTTGAAGATTTTTTTTATTTATTTCAAGAAATGGAACTTTTTGTATTCTGGGCAACTTATACAATTTTAAACCCAATATTTTAATTGTTTATCTCAATTCTTTCCTTCAGAAGGTATCACTATATTGCGGAGATACCTAAATGTCTGCCATATACGACTTAAAAATACCAAATTTCAGCGAATTTGGTTGAAAAATGCGCTCAAGAACCTCAAAATATCGAAAATTGGGGGTACCCTTATATGGGAGCTACCCGAAAAAATTGACCTATATTTATAATTTTTAGTGGGGAAATTTGGTACCCAATAAAAGCCCAATGTACCAAATTTCAGCGAATTCCGTTGAAAGCCGCGCTCAAGAACCTCAAAATACCGAAAATTGGGGGGTACACATATAAGGGTGCTACCCGAAAAAATTTACCTATTTTTATAATTTTACCGAATTTCACCGAATTCGGTGGAAAAATGCGATCAAACCCCCCAAAATACCGCAAAATTGGGGGTACCCTTATATGGGGGCTATCCGAAAATATGGACCCATATTTAAAATTTTTAGTGGAGAGATTTGCTACCCAATAAGAACTCAATGTACCAAATTTCAGCGAATTCAGTTGAAAAACGCACTCAAGAACCTCAAAATACCGAAAATTGGGGGTACCCTTATATGGGTGCTATCAGGAAAAGTGGACCGATGTTTACAATTTTTTGTGTAGATATTTGGTTGAAAATTCGGTTGAAAAACGCGTTCAAGATCCCCAAAATAAAAATTGGGGGTACCCTTATATGGGAGCTATCCGAAAAAAATGGACCTATATTTATAATTTTTGGAGGGGAGATTTGCTACCCAATAAGAACTCAAAGTACCAAATTTCAGCGAATTCGGTTGAAAAACGCACTCAAGAAATTCAAAATACCGAAAATTGGGGGTACCCTTATATGGGAGCTATGCCTAAACGTGGACCGATATATCCCATCTTCGAACTTGACCTGCCTGCAGACAAAAGACGACTCTGTGCAAAATTTTGGCGATCTATCTCAATTCGTTTAGACGCTAGAGTGATTACAACAGACGGACAGACGGACATGCTTATATCGTCATAGAATTTTATGCTGATCAAGAATATATATAGTTTATAAGGTCGGAAATGATTATTTCGATGCGTTACAAACGGAAAAACAAAACTAATATACCCTCCATACTATGGTGGAGGGTATAAATGAGGAATATTAAAAAAAAATATTTTTTTTCGAAAATTCCAACAATAATATTAATCATAATTATTGTCTATATATTTAGCGTCCGAAAATAACATTCGCTACCTCTGAAAATTATTTAAAGGCTAAAAATAAAAGTATTTTAATGTTAGCAAAGGTACTTTGTCGGCAGAACAGGCATAGCAACTTTAGAGAGCCATTGGCATGGACTAAATTAAATATGTAATCTACGTGCATATATGTATCAATTTAATTCAAAACATAAATATGTCATTCTGCAATCTATGCAACATTTCATGACAATCGGGCAGACGAGTATGGTGTACCATTTGCATCGAGCAAAACAATGTATGTATTAATCTGTACCGATTTGGAGCAAATTTGATGTGCGTCACACAGTCATAATTTTCGTTATCAAAATCCCCTTCCCTGTGTAAAAATTGGTTATTTTCCAGTCACAATTGTGGTCATTTCATCCCCTAAATGTTTTCCGATCATTACAAAAAACATAGGTCTTTGGTCATAACCGAATCTACATGCAAACTTTCGTTAGAATGTGTCCATAATACGTTTCCCAACTGAATTAGCTGTTATTTTTTGAGATTCGCATTATTAACATTGGCCTATTCTTTAAAGCAAATAAGAACATGGAACATGGCACCCGCAAAATTTCGGTATTTGTACCGGAAGTGGCGGCAAGATAATATAGTTTTTTTTATACCTTCCACCATAGTATGGAGTGTATATTATGTTTGTTTTTCCGTTTGTAACTCATCGAAATAATCATTTCCGATCCTATAAAGTGCATATATATATATATATATTTAATCAGCGAAAAATTCTACGACGATCTACCATATCCGTCTATCCGCCCGTCTGAGATAGATTTCTTTTGTCTGCAGGCAGGTCAAGTTCGAAGATAGATATATCGGCCCACGTTAATTCATAACTCCCATATAAGGATACCACCTACTTTTCTGTATTTTGGGGCTCTTGAATGTTTTTCAACCGAATTCGCTGAAATTTGGTACATTGCGTTCTTATTGGAACCATTTTCAGTATGTTTCAGCGTATTTTTCGACCGAATTGGCTGTAAATTAGTCATTTGAGTTATTATTTGGTAGCAAATCTCTCAATTTTCAATTTTTGGTGTTCTTCAGCGCGGTTTTCTACCGAATTCGATGTAATTTGATATTTTGTGGTCATATATGGTAACATATATGCTTATGAATTTAACTGGCAAAAATAAATCAAGATAAACCTATGGTGAGATTATGCATATTATTATTTTCTGAGTCGATTCATTTATGATCCGAATTTGGCACAGTCCACTTATTTTGCCCAAGGAGAAAAATTAAGAAATTCCGTTAAGATTTATATAAAGCTCCCTTATTTATTTTGGCCCGATTTTATGTAAATGGTGCACCAAACTCCCAAGATGGGTCCGATTGAGACAAAATTTTGCACAGCGCACTGAAATAGAAAATCGATTCAGATTTAGATATAGCTCCCATATATATTTTCGTCCGATTTAATGTATGTGGTGCATATATTACCCAATGTTTCACCGATTACGACGAAATTTTGCACAACGTATCAAATAGGACATTTTGGTAAAATCGAATAGCATATGCCGTGTTTGATTTGCATAATGTTGTTCTTTTGTACGATATCTCAACTAATACACAATTTTCAATAGGTTGACGAAGATATGTGTATGGATTGATTTAAGTCAATTTACATATAGACAAAGCTCACATATTTAATTTAGTCCAATTTCATATGCTTGTAGCATGCTAAAGAAATCGATATACCAATAGTTAATTTTAAGGATAACTTTTTTACTCCATTTATGCAGGTGCGTGCATCTTTTCCCCCTATATTATTGTAAATAATGTACAGGTTCACGAATGAGATGAAATTTGGCACAGCACAGTTGATTGGACAACCATATTAAAATTCATAAAAATCGGTTCAGATTTTAATATAGTTTCCATATTTATATTTTCGGACAATTCCATTTAAATTATGCACCAGCTTTTTATACCCTACACAACCGTCCGACTTTTGAAATTTCCTTACGGGTTTTCCTATAGTTTTTTAATGAAGACATTTTCACATTTTATCTATAACCAATTGCTCCAGTCTCTACACACGTTTTTACAACTGAAATTCATGAAAAAATATTCGAAATGAATCACTTCAAATATTCAGTAGACAATTTTCGTTGTTAAATACCTGACCGCCAATGTATATCTACCACAGTTAGTTTTGTTTCTACAGTGTTATTTTGTGTTTATGAACCTAAAAATTCTTATCAATAAATTATTTTCAATTATGTTGATTTAATTGATAAAATATAGAAGATATCAACAAGTACACCAAATTACCATTTGCTGATATTTTCCATATTCTTATTGAAAGTTTTTCATAATGCTATTCCCTGGGAAATCTCTTTTTCAGAAATCGGGTGATCTTCACAATAAAGCAAGCGTAATTATAAGGACGGGTTTTAATAAGAGGCGCCAAAATTTAAATTTGATGTGATATTAATTAGCTCCTGAATACATCAAGATTACAAATATATTTCAAAGAAAATACTGATTACGCTCTGATATTGTATAAATAATCAGGATTATGTATGTTCGAAATTTACTGAATTCATATATACTGCCTCAGATTTGTCAGAAAAGAGAGAGGTAGAGAAAACAAGTAAAAATACATTTTATATCCTCCATTATGTGGATACTGACATTTATTTGCAATTATGTTACCAACCTAACTATAGTTCCATTCCAGAACTTAAAAGAATCTACTAATTTTACAAGTTTTGCAACTTTTTTACTCGAAAACCGTTCCTGAACCCACAAAACTTGTAAAACATTGGGTCTCATGCATAAAAACGAGCAAAAGCGATGAGTTGAGTCAAGTAAGCAATTGCTCGTAAGTTGAGTTAGATCGAACAGCAACTGCTTTTGCTCAATTTCGTATGCATAAAAATGAGTTCAAACCAATTGCAAATACTTGAGCAAATTGAGATCAAACTTCTAATTGTAATTGAAGTGCAAACATGTCGTCAAGTGGAAGTGAATTAGAAGTAGTAGTAAATACTAATAATAAAATAGAAACTAACGATATATCTACATTTTTAGTATAACAAAAATTAAAGAAAATAAATATTTACTTGAAAAAAGGCAGTTACCAAGCATTAAAAAAATGAAAAAATAAACAATAGAAACATGTGTCAATGAAATGAATTAATAAGCCAGCAGGCATTTTTTCTTATTTTTGTTTTTAAACAAAAGCAAATTCCAATGAAATAACATTAGGGTTATATTATTATGGTTTATATTATTATAATATGTACCATAAGACGGGGCGTATATACGCCACACATCGAAATATTTGTCGAAGACACTCTAAAGGATATGTATATATACATATATTCCTGATAAAGATCAATTATATCCATACCCGTCTGTTAAAACCCAAACATTTGCAAATACTTGGCTAATATTCTTCAATTTTTCATTCCGTTTACAACATCTCGAAATATTCACCTGAGACTCCATAAATGATATACATTGGTGGCTAAACTAAAGCAACTGAAATTGCAAATTGAATTAATGACCCGTAAGTTTTTTTGAAATATAGTGAAAGTTTTTTTTTTTTAAATAAAAATGATTCTATGGAAAACTAAATTGACCCAATTTTGATTTTTTTCTTTTTTATAAAAAATCAAATTTTGCTAGTAACCGACAGCAAAACCGTTATTTTTTGATTACGGCAGCACACCTATGAGACATTGAACATATACGATCCAAAATTTGATCCTTTCCTCGCATCCTGAACCTGAATCCCTTTTGATTTTGCTATCGATGATGCTCCAAAGATTTTTCTATAGGGTGAAGATCTGATGATTGTGTTGGTCATCATAAAACCCGGATTTTTGACTCCCGCAACCAATCTTTGACATGTTTTAGTTTATATTTGGGGGGTTATTGTCAAGCTTCAACACAAAATATTCATGAAATATTTTTCCAAAATCATTTTCTGTGATAAATTATGTTCACAATCACTGATAACTATTCCTTTTAGTGTACGCGAGTCAACTAAGAGGCATGCTCAACAAAAGTTAAGCAAGAGCTCACAAAAGTAAGCAAAAGCTTGTTTTTATGCATATGAAAATGAGAACAATCTCATCCAACATCAATTTCTAAGTTCAAACTGAGCAAGAGGAGATCAAACGTGAGCAGTGAGTAAAAGTAAATACATTAAATTTTATTATGCATACGACAAGCACCTTTTGCTCAAAAAATCGAGTCCGAGCTGAAGCTCACGTTTTATGCATGAGACCCATTGAGTCAAATTTAAGAGAGCACAAAACAAAATGGCGTTCTCTTTGAAAACTTTTTACTCGAGAAATTTGGCCGAGTAAAAATGGTAAACAGGAATGCCTACTTCTGATTGGCAGTTGTGTTGATTTTGAAGTAATGTCGTCTAATATTGAAATATTTACTAGATATTTTGTACTCTGAGAGTGATTTTGACTTTACTCCCTTTTACTAGATTCACTATTAAACCAGTAAGGAAAGTAGTAAAGTCGGACGGGGCCGACTATATGATACCCTTCACCACTATGGGTATATTAAAAAGGAGTATTTACATTAAATTGGATGAAATAAAATATGTGATATTTATCTAAATGTGAATCTACCTAGATCTATCCATAAACATGTCATTCGTTTGTTACAATGGGACACAAGTATGTAAATCGACTTCAAACAAATATAAATAGGACATCCGTTGGGCTATGTCTGTACTTTAAGAACACGCAACTACGTTATTCTATGTCAACCTGGCAAACATGAGGAGTTTCATGCACCATATACTTAAAATCGAGCGAAAATATATATGGAAGCTATATCCAAATATGAAGCGATTTCAACGAAACTTGCCACAGGTTAGGTTATACTAATCTTAGTACGTTTTGTTCCTATCAGCCTATTGGTTCCTTGGTGCGTCAATTACTTAAAATCAATTGATAATACATAAGGAGCTATATCTAAATCTCAAACGATTTTCACAAAACTTGGCACACAACATTCTGGACTAAATTCAGTACGCTATATGTGGACTTTGGTGCACCATTTACATGAAATCGGACGAAACTATATATGGGAGCTATATCTAAATATGTACCGATTTTCTCGAAACTTGGCAGACATCACTCTAGGCTCAATTCAATACGTTATGCCAAATTTCGTGCAAATCGAAGGATTTATAGGGACTTTGGTGCACCATTTACATGAAATCGGACGAAACTATATATGGGAGCTATATCTAAATCTGGACCGATTTTCTCGAAACTTGGCAGACATCACTCTAGGCTTAATTCAGTACGTTACGCCAAATTTCGTGCAGTGTGGTGAAGGGTATAAACAAAACTGGAACAGACCATATATTATACTCGAGGATGTATACTATACTAAACCGATATAAGGGACTAGTTAGAATGCATGCGGTATTGGTCCAGCGACACTAAATGAGTCTAAAATAGATATGTGCAAGGAACTTTTTGTCATACGGCTGTCGTACGGCTGTTGTTGAAATATGTTCAGATTAAGATATAGCTCTCATATACATTCCCGTCAGATTTTAGGTAAATGGTGCACCAAGCTCTTCATGTTTGTCAGATTGACTCGAAATGTTGCGTAGCGTATCATATTGAACTTAGTAAGGAAACTTCAAAAGTGGACAAGGGATGCTTTTAAAATTCTTATTGTAAGGTACAGTCAGATATATACCGGTGTAGACCAGGTAAAACATACGACGAAAACATTAGGGAACTAATCATGTTGGTCTTATATGTATACTGTCTTAAATTTATCAAAATTAAAGATGTGTTCCATAAAGGTATATGCAACTATTTTAATCAATCCATACACATGTCATTCAAGGCGGACTTGTATTTGATGTGTCATTTCTATGAAATCGAACAAAACCATGTAAAAGAGCTGTAAATAAATCTAGTTTTAGAGGAAAATTCGCAAGTGCCAATCGGTATGATACAGTCTTGTCCAATAACAATTAAATCGGAAGAAAATATATATGAGATGTAAACTTACATAATTTCAGTCTCAATTTAGTACGCTAGCGGTTTAGGTGCACCACTTACATAAAATCGGACGAAGCTATATATGGGAGCTATATCCAAATCAGAACCGATTTTACCAAAACGTACCACATATCATTCAAATTAAATGTGCTTTGCAAAATTTTGTGTAAATGAAAGAAATATGGCGATTTTTGTGCACCATTTCCATAAAATTCGGTGAAAAATATATAAGACCTATATCTAACTCTGAACCGATGTCAACGATACTAAACACATGTCATCCTAGACTTAATTCAGTACGCTGTGCAAAATTTAGTCTCAATCGAACATATATTCAGAGTTTGGTGAGCCATTTACATAAAATCGCACGATAATATATATTGGAGCTATATCTAAATCTGAACAAATTTCCAGTACTCCATGCTACGCCAGCTATCCGTCCAAAGTATATGTAATTTGGAACATTATTTTTCCAAAGGATGAACTCACACATAGACCCCATACAAGGAACTCGCCTGATTTAAGGAATTTTGAATGTACACCACGTGGTGGCCAGACATAAAGTCGCAAAAGTAATTTTCCACTCCACAAGAATTTTGTTGTAAAGTGTACTTGATATATTTAAAAAATAGTTATTATAATTTGTTTGCAATGAGTGTGTGCGATTCAATTTTTTTTTATCGGAAACATTGGAATTGATTGATATTTCCTTGTTTGTGCCATGTATCTAGATATAAATGTGAGGGTCAAATTAAAAAAAAAAAACACACCAACAAAAATAACAAAACTTATTACTAATTAAAAGTTGTGTTTATAAATTTTTCAATTACTTATCAGTGTCATCGATCAAAGCGTGGGGTGGAAATCCTCTGGTATTTAGATTTCCAGGGAATACTATTGCATTATGTTTACTTTAATAGATCATCGATTATTTGGAAATGGAATATTTTTTTTTATTTGGTGAATAATAAATACCTTCAAAAAATATTTTGGTATAAAATTCGCCATTTTCGAAACTCAACACCGCAGTTCGACATTCGATTTGCATCGGGAAACACGGTTGAGGAGAATGTCCATTAAAGCAGTTATTGTTCTTTTGGCTTTAGCCCTTGTGGCCGAGGCCAGCATATACCGCATACCCATTGAACGGGTTAAGGTCACCAAAAACAAGGCCAACGAATTGATGAAACTCCGGGCCAAATACAACTTATTGGACACACCCGTCAAGGAGAGTTTGCTGAACTATGCCGATGATTCATACTATGGTCGCATCACAATCGGTACACCTCCTCAGGAATTTTTGATTCTCTTCGATACTGGATCGTCGAACTTGTGGGTTCCTGTCGCTCCCTGTGCCGCAAATAATACTGCCTGCCAAAATCACAATACCTATGATCCCAATGCCTCATCTACCTATGTGCCAAACGGTGAAGCCTTCTCCATTCAATATGGCACTGGCAGTTTGACTGGTTATTTGTTGCAAGACACTGTCACCGTTGAAGGTTTGGTAATTCAAGATCAAGTTTTCGCCGGCGCCACCAATGAACCTGGCAACACCTTTGTCGATGCCCCATTCGATGGTATTCTGGGTATGGGCTTCGTCACCATTGCCGTAGATAGTGTTACCCCACCCTTCTACAACATGTACTCGCAAGGTTTGTTGGGCGCCAATTTGTTCTCCTTCTATTTGACCCGTAATGGTACCTCCACCGATGGTGGTGCTTTGATTTTGGGTGGTGTTGATCCCAACCATTATACCGGCGAGTTTACCTTTGTTCCCGTCTCCCAAGAAGGCTATTGGCAATTCGAAATCACCTCCGGTGTTGTGGCTGGCGTAAACATTTGCGACCAGTGCCAAGGTATTGCCGATACTGGCACCTCCCTCATTGCTGTTCCCGATGATCAATACTTAAATGTACAATCGGCCATTGGTGCTTACTACAGCGATGAATTCAGTTCCTTCATGTTGGATTGCTCGACCATTGATAGCTTGCCCGTTGTCACCTTCAACATTGGTGGTACCAATTTCACTTTGACCGGTGAGGACTACGTCATTGAAATGGAAGGCCTCTGCATGTCAGCTTTCGAAGATTCCGGTGCTAATTTCTACATTTTGGGTGATATCTTCATTGGCAAGTACTACACCGTTTTCGATATGGATAATTTGCGTGTTGGTTTTGCCACAGCTACAAACGAAGAAAACAGTGTTTGTATGACTCAATAATTCATTAGTTCTTAAAATGTGAAAAAAATTTATAATTCGAAAATTATTTTGTCATTAAACAAGGTATAAACGAATTTTTGTTCTGTTTTATTTGTTAGAGATAGTGCCGAACCCACGAGGAACTATTTTATTTTGTCGCGACTAGTAAATAATGGGCGGAATCATATTATAGGGGATATAAAAAAAACCTAGATATATAAAGAAGATTTTTCAAAACGGACGATGAAGAAAAGGCCGATAGGCGTGGCTTTTTTAAAGAATTTTTCTAGACCACCAAAAGGCCGATAGGCGTGGATTTTTTTAAGAATTTTTCTAGACCACCAAAAAGCCGATAGGCGTGGATTTTTTTTAAGAATTTTTCTTAACTACCAAAAGCCCGATAGACGTGGATTTTTTAAAGAATTTTTCTTAACTACCAAAAGCCCGATAGGCGTGGATTGTTTAAAGAATTTTTCTAGACCACCAAAAGCCGATAGGCGTGGATTTTTTAAAGAATTTTTCTAGACCACCAAAAGGCCAATAGGCATGAACTTTTTACAAAATTTTTCTAGACCATCACCAGGCGTAAATTTTTTAAGAATTTTTCTGAACCACCAAAAGGCCAATAGGCATGAACTTTTTACAAAATTTTTCTAGACCATCACCAGGCATAAATTTTTTAAGAATTTTTCTGAACCACCAAAAGGCCGATAGGCGTGGATTTTTTAAATAATTTTTCTAGACCACCAAAAGGCCGATAGGCGTGGATTTTTTAAATAATTTTTCTAGACCACCAAAAGGCCGATAGGCGTGGATTTTTTTTAGAGAATTTTTCTAGACCACCAAAGGCCGATAGGCGTGGATTTTTTTAGAGAATTTTTCTAGACCACCAAAAGGCCGATAGGCGTGGATTTTTTAAATATTTTTTCTAGACCACCAAAAGGCCGATAGGCGTGGATTTTTTAAATAATTTTTCTAGACCACCATAAGGCCGATAGGCGTGGATTTTTTAAATAATTTTTCTAGCCGATAGGCGTGGATTTTTTAAAGAATTTTTCTAGACCACCAAAAAGGCCGATAGGCGTGGATTTTTTAAAGAATTTTTCTAGACCACCAAAAAGGCCGATAGGCGTGGATTTTTTAAAGAATTTTTCTAGACCACCAAAAAGGCCGATAGGCGTGGATTTTTTAAAGAATTTTTCTAGACCACCAAAAAGGCCGATAGGCGTGGATTTTTTAAAGAATTTTTCTAGACCACCAAAAAGGCCGATAGGCGTGGATTTTTTAAAGAATTTTTCTAGACCACCAAAAAGGCCGATAGGCGTGGATTTTTTAAAGAATTTTTTGAGATTTTTTTTAGACCACCAAAAAGGCCGATAGGCGTGGATTTTTTAAAGAATTTTTTGAAATTTTTTTTAGACCACCAAAAGGACGATAGGCGTGGATTTAAAAAAAAAAATATTCTAGACAACCATAAGGCCGATAGTCGTGGATTTTTAAAAAAAAAAATTGTAGACAACCATAAGGCCGATAGGCGTGGATTTTTAAAAAAATTTTCTAGACAACCATAAGGACGATGGGCTTGTATTAAAAAAAAAATTATATACAACCATAAGGCCGATAGGCTTGTATTTTTTTAAAGAAATTTTCTAGACCACCATATGACCGATAGGCGTGTATTTTTCAGAAAATGCCGCATGTCGCTTTTGCTCCTGTTTAATGTACTTTAATTGAAAACACAATAAAAATATATTTTTCAAATGTTCATTTATTTAAGAAATGTATGACTTTTTTTTATATTTTTACTTCCTACCCAAAGCAAAATATGCAATCATATATTTACTGAGCATCAGCAAAACCAACGCGATTGTTACCCAAATCGAAGACGGTATAATATTTGCCAATGAAAATATCACCCAAAATCCAGAAATCAGTACCAATACTTTCGAAAACGGTGGTGCAAACGCCATAATTCTGCAAAACATAATCATTGGCTTCAACGGAGAATTGGCGGCCACCAATATTGAAGTTCAATGGAGGCAAACTGCTAACGGTAGAACAATCCAAAACATAAGCACCATATTCTTCATTGTATTCAGCACCAACAGCAGCTTGAATATTCTCGTATTGAGTGTAAGGTACAGCCAAGAGGGAGGTACCAGTATCAGCAATACCCTGGCAGTTGTTGCACACATTTACACCATTAACTTCACCCGAAGCGATTTCGAATTGCCAATAACCCTCGGATGATACGGGGACATAGGTAATTTCACCAGTATAGTGATTGGGATCAATGCCACCCAAAACCAATTCACCACCATTTTCAGCGGTACCGTCACGAGCCAAATAGAATGCAAAGACATCGGCATCGAGAAAGCCTTGCGAATACAAGTTGTAGAATGGTGGCACAACACTATCCTGGGCAATTTGCTGGTAACCCATACCAAGGATACCATCAAAGGGAGAATAAGTGAAGGTGTTACCAGGTTCATTGGTGGCAGCAGCAAAAACTTGATTTTGAATTGCCATACCTTGGACGGTGACGGTATCTTGAACCAAATATCCTGACAAACTGCCAGAACCATAAGCAATATAGAAAGGTTCACCATTGGCCACATAACTGGAGGAAGCACTTGGATTGTAGGTGTGATGATTTTGACAGGCAACATTATCGGCCGAGCAGGGAGCTACAGGAACCCACAAGTTCGAGGAGCCGGTATCAAACAAAACCAAAAATTCCTGAGGTGGTGTACCAATTGTAATTTTGCCATAGTACGAATCATCGACATAGTTCATCAAATTCTCCTTTTTGGCGACGAAGTCTAATTTGTTGTATTTTCCCTTCAATTTCAACAATTCGTTTTCCTTGGTTTTGGGCTCCTTCACCTTGTACATGGGAATACGGACCAATGCGGATTCAGCCAAAATGGCCAGGCACAACAAGGCAATAACAGATTTCAACATTTTTTTTTTTTTTTTTTTTGGTTTTCGATTTCCTTTCACTTGTGTCGAGACAACAACGAACGATTGGAACTGATTTTTGCATTCACTTGGGTGGTCTTTTATAGGGACTTTGTGTTCTTCTTCAATTCCAATTATTTACCAATAGGGGTTATATTTGTGGGACTTAAGATAGCTTAGATGTTATCGTAAACAAAAGAATTTTGTTGCACTTGAATTGCCTTTAATTATTTGTGCATGTAATGCAAGGCGATAACAATGCCAGACGCGTTTTACTGAACACTGCACTCTTCATATCATTGATTGAATGCAGCGATATATTGCAGCATTTCCGGTATATTGATGGTGTTGGTGATAGTCAATCATAATTTGGGACTAGTGAAATATTCGAAGAATTCGCAGAAAACAACTCCATCTTGGAATGATACTCATACGAAATTTCCAGTAATTTCATATTTGTATACTCTACACAACTATATTGTGACTCTCGAGTGGACCTAAGACTTTGCATACAGAGTATCCATATATTGTGCAATCAAATTTCAATTAAGAAATCGCCACGAAATTTTCCTATCGGGCCTATATATATATATATATATATATTTTTCAATTTTGTTGTTCACATAAAATTGGCCCAAACATTAGGAAATTGTACAGGGTGGCCCAAAAAAGACTGAAGGATTAAAAATTACTGTATTTTTGTTTTGTTTAGATTTGTTTTTATAGATTTTTTATGTTTTTAAATACTTAATTCATGGAGTTTTTTTTACATTTAAGTGTGAAATATAACATCTCTCAAATGGTGTCCATTTTCTTGCAAACAAAAATTCGCTCTTTTAACCGCATTTTCCATTACTGCCCGTAGAGTTTCTGGTTCCAAGATGCTTATTTCTGCTTGAATGTTGTGCTTAAGCTCTTGATTTGTTTGGGGTTTATTGATATACACAACTCCCTTCAAATAGCCCCACAAAAAAATCTGAAGCGGTCAAATCTGGTGAACGTGGAGGCCAAGCAAACTCACAATTTCTGGAAATTATTCGAATAGCATATTGCAAGCGCCTGATGGTCTTGGGGGAGCAGTTGTTGTGCCATTTGAATTTTATACGGAAACATTTTTAAGATCCCGCTTCAAAATTCTTTGCAGGGATGTTCTGGAGATTCCCAATTGAGTACAACGACGACGAGTAGAGACAGATGGATCTTCGTTTACACTCTGTCGTACTGCCTCCACAACTGCTTCATTGTGCACAGATCGATCTCTTCCTTTTCCTGGAAGATCTTACACTCTTCCATGTTCCTCAAATCGGGACCTTAAAATGACAACGATAAATTAGTTGAGTTTTAATAATTGACCTTCCAGAAGAATAACAAGTGAAAAAGCGTTAAGTTTAGCCGGGCCGAACTTTGTATACCCTCCACCATAGATATACTGTCAGGTATTTGAAATGAAAGTAAAGGGAACATAATAAAAAGTGACCTTTCTACAAACTGATTATGTAAACCATAATTTCAGCAATTTTTTGTGAATATTTATACCCTCAGCCTTATGGCTATTGAGGGTGTATACACTTTGATACAGCGAAAATGTGCCTCGTCAAAATATTCGTTCTAGACCCCACGTTTTTTTGGACCAAATCCATTTCAGAAAATTTTGATTTCATCCAAACTTTGCCTATATTATTTATTCCAAACTTTGTTCAAGTTCGAAGATGGGAAATATCGATCCACTCCTTCCGGTACGTCCCACACAGGGGCTAGGCCTAGGCCTAAATCCGGTCTATAGTTCATATATAGTACGTTATCAACCTTACGTTCTATCCTCCGCAGGTGAAATGATTACAACAGAGTCTTAGAACCAAAACCAAAACGCAGAACAAATCAAATAACTATTTTAATATAAACCAGTAAGGAAAGTAGTAAAGTCGGGTGATGCCCTTCACCACTTTGGGTATATTCAACATATGAATGCTAACAGACGTCGAATTCTGCAACCTATACTAAATTTTTCATTTGTTCAGATATAGGGTTGCTTCTTACAATACACTATAGGTAATTTGCCCTGTTTTTGTGGCAAAAATTAATAACAGCGGCTTTAAACGATTTTTTGACTTTTTAAATGATGCATATGTACAAAAAGAGAAAACGCAGCTTTCCACAGTAAAAACCGGATATAACGAACAACGGTTATAAGCAACTACACATATAACGAACAAAGCTAATTCTTTCTCAGATATTTTCATTAGTTGTCTTATACACAACAAACGGTTGAAAACGATTAGGGTAGTAAGTTAAAAAAAATTTAGACCCCGCGATTAGATTTTTAAAGGAATAATTATTACAATGTCGTATGTTTTTGCAGAATGCATTAATAACGATTAATCAGTACCCATTTATACTCCTTAAGGACATTAATATGTAAAAGTGAGATAAATCCATGCTTACTACAGTCGAACACGATTATAGTAAACACTGGATATACTGAACAACATTTTTTCATATGCCACTTTTTTATTTTTAACAAATCCTGAAAAAAAGTGAAAAAATAAATTTTTTGATGGTTTATATTTTAAGGGGAACTCAAGCCCGCCATTTCATGTTCTCCACTAGATTTTTTTCTCATAATCGTTTCTTCGACAAACTATTTGGAGTTTAAGAGTCACGTTATTTCTATCTTCCTATGTCATTCGGTGTATCTTGACAAATGCATGCAAAATAACATAATTTCCTATTTTAATTTGACGTATTCTTCGTCCATATTGTTGTTATTGGCAATTTTACTTGCGGGGACGTTGTGAACAACAATATGTTTCCTTGCTTTTATTTCTTTCATCAAACCAAATATTGAAAATACTATAGTTTTTTATTCTGAAGTTACCTACAAAAAAAAAAACTGATATATCTTGAAAAACGCAAAAATTCGCAATTTGAGACATATTGGAATCAATTTAGAAGGCTTTCATTAATATATTTCAGTTGTCAAAAGATCAGACAAATTTAAACATTTTAGTAAAAGTCTATCTAAAATGACTTATGTGTAAAAAATAGACACATTTCTTTTATTATAGTCAACTACGTAAATTTTTATATATTTTTTATATTTATGCTTTGAATTTAGCGATTTTAAACGTTTTAAAATACGTCATGATTTGTAAAGTTTTTTATTTCTTTAATTTTATTTTCAAAGTTTAGAGTTTGGTAACGATTTTCAACGCTTTTAGACACTTTTACGCAAAAAATCTTACAGATTCGTAAAATTTGACATGTTTTCTTTTTAATGACATCAAAAATGACTTTTACCCCAAAAAAACGTCCAAATTACCTCTAGTGCAATGGGACAAAATTACCAAAGCTTGGGAGAAAATATATATAGAAGCTATATCCAAATCTGAACCGATTTCAAAACTTTCCACATTTCAAAACTTTAGTACGTTGTGCAAAATTTGTGTAAAATCGGACGAAAATATATATGTAGAAGCTATATCAAAATCTGAACCGATTTCAATGAGAATGGCAGAGATTAACTTATATTAACTACAGTTTATTGTACAAAATTGTGTGGCAATCGGACAAACTTTGGGTCTTTAGTGCACAATTTACATAAAATTGGAAGAAAAAATATATTGGAGCTATATATAAATCTGAACTGATTTTCAGGAGACTTTACACACATCACTCCAGACTCATTTCAGTACCCTATGCCAAATCGAAATATGTGTGGGAACTATGGTACACCATTTACATTAAATCACGAAACTTAACGTGCACTATTCTAGACTTAATTAAGTACGATGTGCCAAATTTCATGCAAATCGAAAGATATATAAGGACCTTGTTACACTATTTACTGTAAATCGGAAGAAAATATATATGGGTGCTATATCTAAATCTGAACCGATTTTCAGTAAACTTAACACACATCATTTTGGACCTAATTCATTTCGTTATGCCAAATTTCGGCAAATCAAAAGATATATAGGGACTTTGGTACACCATTTACCTTATATCGGACGAAGATATATATGGGGCTATATCTAAATCTGAACCGATTTTCAGGAAACTTAACACACATCATTCTAGACCTAATCCCATTCGCTATGCCAAATTTCGGGCAAATCAAAAGATATATAGGGACTTTGGTACACCATTTACATTAACTCGGACAAAAATATATATGGGAGCTAAATCTAAATCTAAACCGATTTTCAGGAAACTTAACACACATCATTCTAGACCTAATCCATTTCGCTATGCCAAATTTCGGGCAAATCAAAAGATATATAGGGACTTTGGTACACCATTTACCTTAAATCGGACGAAGATATATATAGGAGCTATATCTAGATCTGAACCGATTTTCAGGAAACTCAACACACATCATTCTAGACCTAATTCATTACGCTATGCCAAATTTCGGGCAAATCAAAAGATATATAGGGACTTTGGTACACCATTTACATTAACTCGGACAAAAATATATATGGGGCTATATCTAAATCTAAACCGATTTTCAGGAAACTTAACACACATCATTCTAGACCTAATCCATTTTGCTATGCCAAATTTCGGGCAAATCAAAAGATATATAGGGACTTTGGTACACCATTTACCTTAAATCGGACAAAGATATATATGGGAGCTATATCTAAATCTGAACCGATTTTCAGTAAACTTAACACACATCATTCTTGACCTAATCCATTTCGCTATGCCAAATTTCGGGCAAATCAAAAGATATATAGGGACTTTGGTACACCATTTACCTTAAATCGGACGAAGATATATATAGGAGCTATATCTAAATCTGAACCGATTTTCAGGAAACTCAACACACATCATTCTAGACCTAATTCATTACGCTATGCCAAATTTCGTGCTAATCGAAAGATATATAGGGACTTTGGTACACTATTTACCTTAAATAGGCCGAATATATGTATATGGGAGCTATATCTAAATCTGAACCGATGTTTCCCAATTTCAATAGGGTTCGTCCTTGGGGCAATT